AAGGAAAGTCGAAGAAAGTAAAACGTTCGTCACATTGTATTTATAAGTTGAAGCATTTCAAGCAGACGGTAAAGTTTAACTTTGACTTAAGAGAAACATCTATTTACTTTATGTCTGTTTTTCATGTTGATAAGGCTAGACAATTTATTTCGTCATTGTGCGATTTAATGACAGAACCTGATAAAAACAAATATTTTCTGCCTGTTCTGACGTTGTTCATTTATTAGTATTGTTTCTCCTCAATTAATCGTTTCTTTTGTAAACAGTTTTGTTTTCATTGTTAGTCTTTGTTTATCGCATTTAGTTTTGAAACAGAATCAAAGTTTATTTTTCAAAGCACGAACGGATATGGCGAAGATTCTCGTGTGCTCGGAGTGAATTGACAAGTTTTGGGGTTGACACGATAGGAAAGGTCGTCGACCAACTGTCCACCTGTACACACCTCGAGAGATTCCGGATGATCGCCGTAAAGCCGTCGGGATTTGCCATTTCTGGAAAACTCTGGAATTCCGGACCACATCTCTGAACATTCCGCGCTTTCATTAATCGACGGATATTTACCAGGCTGCCTACAGAACTGTTAATTTTATCGAACGAACTTGGGTGAAAACCGGCAGAGTTAGGAGAAAGTCGTATAAAACCAGCATTGAACACATCAAGATTTAACTTAACCCGAATCGTTAGGTTTTTCCGTGCCATTGAGAAGGAATAATTTTCTACTTGTGGATTAATATTATGTTTTTGAATGAATAGCTCGGGCATAACAAATAAACTTAACAACCAATTCATAACAAATAAATTAAACAACCAATTCATAACAAATTAGGTAAATATAATAAATGTAAAAAAAAAGCAAGTCACTTTTCCAAATGGACTGTATCTATAAAGAGAGTTCGTCTTGACGAGTAAAAAGAGATACGCAAAGATAGGTGGATAGATAGATAGGTAGAGGATAGATAAATACATAGAGATGCACAAAAAAATGTGTGTAGAAAGAATGGTGTATATGAAACGTGTAGATGAAGAAAGAAAAATGTAGTTGTGGAAACAAAAGAAGAGGTGCGGAGAGAGAGAGAGTGATAGAAGAGGAATTTTTATTTTTCATGGTATGCATTTCTTTTCTCATGTTTTATTGTTTTTATTAATCATCTTTTTTCTCTCTTATTTTTCTTGTATTATTTTTCTTCGCTTTCCCTGGTCGTTCTTAGTTTTTATTTTTCGCTCTTCTTTCTTCTCTTGTATCTCTACCTCTTTTATTTTATGCCCACATTTTTTACTCCTCGGATTTCTTGACTTTTGTCCATTTCTGACTGATCTTATTTTTTTTATATATCTTCATATTTTTTCTTGTTTTTTTTTTTTATTTTCCTATCTGATTATGTCCTCCCCAGCTTGTATATTTTTGTTTCTCTCTACTTTTTTATTTTTCTTGTTGTTCGACGTTTGGGTACTTTAACTCTATAAGTTTTTATTTTTCGCTCTTCTTTCTTCTCTTGTATCTATCTCTACCTCTTTTATTTTATGCCCACATTTTTTACTCCTCGGATTTCTTGACTTTTGTCCATTTCTGACTGATCTTATTTTTTTATATATCTTCATATTTTTTCTTGTTTTTTTTATTTTCCGATCTGATTATGTCCTCCCCAGCTTGTATATTTTTGTTTCTCTCTACTTTTTTCTTTTTCTTGTTCGACGTTTGGGTACTTTAACTCTATATTCCATCTTTTATTCTCATTTCCTTGTTTTAGGAATCTTCTTTTTGTTGTATTTTTTCTCTTTACATATATACTTCTTATCTTCTCTGTTTCTTATTTTCCATTTTTTTCTCTCTCGCGTTTTCCATTTTCATCGTCCGACAAAGTCCTTTGGGCCTCCGGAAAACATCAAAAGGTACAGAAATCCTTCGATACCATAAAAACTATGACCGGCATCATTATAATTTCCCGTCAAAAGATTCCCGACCATCGCTGGTCAAACACAATCCGAAAATCAACGTGAATCGATATTTACAATAAAAACAAAAACGGCGCAAATTAGACAGTTTTTCCGGTAAAACGACAAACGGCCCATTGACCCAATGACTATGGACCTCGTTCACGGCTTATCTCCACACGCCACCCCTGCGGAAATATGAAAGAGCCGAATGACCCCTGGTGTTTTTCTCCTTTTATAGCACTTCCAGAAGAATTACGACGGTCCTGGAAATGATTAACAAAACAAAAAAATTATTGGGGCATTTCTCAAACCGCTGTAGATAGAATAACGAAGGGGCTTCGAAATTTATTATATCCTTGCTAAAATTATCTTTAATGAAGTTTGTAATTTTTTATGATTTTATGTTTGAATATGATTTATTGCTTATTTGTATTTGTTTAAAAATAACTGTTCTCTCGGCCAGAACTGTTTCCTGTTTTATTGTACTTCTGTTGTTTCTTCTTTGTGGTGTAATAATTTCGAATATGGCCCGAACAAAAGTCTTCCGCTTGATTAGATTCTCCTTCTTCCACGTTTCTTGCCCAACAAACGTCCGGTAAGGACTCTCATTTCCGTTTCGGACATGAAAGGGGGGACAGACTTTGAATTATAATACCTAGTGACTAAGAAACCCCCCTCGGCAGTGTTCATCAAATGTCACACTTCAAAAGACCGCCTTGTTGATGAAAAAAAGAAGTCCAAAAAAAAAAGGCTATAAAGTTCAAACAAAAAAGATACCATCGACCTAATCTCTTATCGCTTTCATCATTTCCCCCCTTGAAATTTCGACTCGAAGAATCATCCGGTTGTTAAAATTGATGGTATAGACGAAAATGACTGATCACGTCTGATAAGGTTGTGTAATCAATATGAAAAAATTTGTAAACGATATAACCAAAATTGCTTAGTACATTAATTAGCTGGTTGGCCTGCGAATAAATTTGAGTTATTGAGTAAATTATGTTCACATTGTATATCTGTATAATTTACCCTTTGTACCGATTGATTTTCATTGTATAAATCCATACATGTTTAGCTGTCATAATTGACCTTATTAATTATTTCAATTAGTTATTCTTTTTATCTTGGTTGAGATGAAAAATTTAAGAGTCATAAGGTGGATTCGAACCCATGAACTTTGACTTTAACCACTTGAGATGTTCATGACAAATTGAATTTCATTATATAATTTATTTTTATTTGCAAGTTAATACGGGGTAATAAGCAAGAAGAGGGTGTATTTTGTAAATCAGTTATTCTGTCTTAAAAAAATGCAATGAAAATATGACAAAAAGAGGACTTTTTAAAAGTTAAAAAATAGAATCAATTTTTAGCTTAAGGCAATCTTTATCAACACGAGGGACATGCTTGTTCGGGGAAAAACAAGAAAAGTGAAAACAAGTCAGGCTGTTATTTACGAGTTAAAAATACATTTCTGGATAAATAAATTTCAAGAAAAGCATGAAGAGAACATTGAAAAATTGCTAGTTGCTAGCTGTGTAAGTTTGGTACTAAAAGACTGACGTCATGGTTCAACTTTGTGCCTAAACGGTGGAAAACCCAAGCCCAGAAAGTGTACACATGATGGAGCATAATAAAACAAATAGCTAAAATACAGCTACTACAAATATCTGCAAATACAGCAGATAGAAATGAGTCTATTGGAGAAAAAAATTGTCCAAAAATTATTTAATTTTTTTATATATGTAATTTTTATTACCAAGCGAATAAAAATTTTGCCAAATAAATAATAATAAACTGACTTTACACCTAATTTTTATAAATATTTTATTTATTTTATAAAACTTAATATTCGTCTAAAGATTGCAAAAAAATAGAATTACATAAACTAAAACTCCCAAAAACATCAAATTGCAATTATTAATGGAAATGGTTCTTGGGAAATTTATTCTCAAAATGGGTTTTAGTTGGTTTTCATGCTAAAATATTCGGTATAATAATTGTGGTGACTATTATGATGTTATATCTTCATAATCCGCAATAACATTTGCATATTTTTATGCAATTCATCTTGATGAAGTGTTCAACTTCGTTTTCCAGTTCTTTTCTCTTTTATAATCACCTACCATTGTCTTTTTATTTATATAAATCATATAAGCGGAGGATAAGGAAAAGTTGGATGATACGACTAAGGCTGGGACGTCAAAACCACCACGATCCAGCCCTCTAATGTTAAAAATACATGTAACATATAAATGTAACATATAAAGAACATGTTGGAGTGCACAGCTGCGAGTATTTGGATCCTCTGCTACCATTTTTAAAGAAACAGCACTGTTTTACTGTATATTGAACTTTATAGATGTCATATTGAATTTCTTTGAGTATATAGAAACTGAATGTATTTATTAGCGTGAACGTGTAGCATGTAGTAGCCTCAGATTGCTTAAAAATCCCCAGCACTCAGTGTGCAGTTCCAGTCTGTCTCAAGCCTCAACAACCTGTTCTGCACAATCACCTTGTATTTCTTTGGGTATATAGAGACTGAACGTATTCATGAGCGTGAATGTGTAGTATTAGGCCTAGGATTGCTTAAAAATTCCCTTCTCACAGGGTAAAATTCTGTTCAAGGCTCAACATTGCAATTGGGAAAGGAATGAGTGAAAGGAAACTCAGAACTGTTTGGATAAAAGTTAGAAGTGGACAAACAACTTATCTAAGTTCAACTGTAACACATATGCACATATATACAAATATGTACAGAATTGAGCTTATAATTTTTGTGGCAAGCTGCAAGAATCACCGTCTTTGGGTTTTGGCAGTATGGGGTCAGACCTCAGACTTATCCATACTGCCACCGAAGTTAAGCTCAAGGGGCTAGCATCTAGGTTATTTCAGCCCCCAATGCATGCGTTTGTTAAATCTAGACACTTTTACACATTCTTAAATATATTCTTTGCTGTTTTTGTACTATTCACTCAAGTAAGGTGGTGCAGGGCTTGCTAGGTTATATAATATATCCATTACATTAATTAATTAACTTAATAATTTTAATTTGTTTACAGAGAAGAAGTCCAGGACCATAAAGTGAGGTGGGGAGCGAAATTCGAATTTGTTTGTAAAATGAGTGCCAACGCATCGACAGGCATACTCGATCCGTGCATGCTTCGCATTTCAGTTAGAAAGGTAATGGAAAAATTCTTTCGTTTTTGTCTTGTAAAACAAACTTTTTATTGGATTTTTTTCTTGGTTTGCCTTTAGGAGATAAAAGGAGGCAGATCGTTCCAGAAATTAGGCTTTACAGATCTCAATCTTGCTGAGTTCGCCGGCTCGGGATGTATACAGAGGAAGTGCCTACTGGAAGGCTATGACACGAGACGCCGCCAAGACAATTCAACACTGTCTGTCACGATTAAGATGAACATGATTTCCGGAGACATTCTGTTCAAAGTGTAAGTCTCAATATAAAATATATATATAAAATTATTATATTCATTATTCATTCACATAGACCATCTCCAACGAAAATGAGGCAGGAGAAAATACCAACAGGTGAGACGAACCAAAGAGATGAGAATTCCGACAGGAGAGACGACTTCTCCGGCGGGAGCATAGCGAGCGTCAGCTCTGGTTTCAGCAGCCTCACGAAAAAGAGGCCTCCGCTATTTAATTCAGGTGCGATAATAACACTGAATTTCTGAAATTGCAACCAATCCTGTAAAGATGTCGCAGGCGAGGCGGAAGACAACGGCGGCCTCGTCGAATGTTACCCTGGAGGTGCGGCTCCTCTGGACGAAGGCCTCGAAATGGGCCATTCTAGGAATCCATCGAATACAAGTCAAATGAGCAAAGGCTCCGGCTATGGATCGATGAACAGCCAGCACAGCAGGCAGAGCAGTTCAGGCGACTCTGGCCACATCAGGTACACAAATTGACATATTTATCGACACATAGGCATTTAAACGCTTTTTTTAATAATTTATTTATTAATTTTTTTTAAATAATACCCTTTTTTTATTAGACAATTTAGAATAATTTACCCATTTCTCAAGATTTTATAAATAATTTTTTTTTATAAATAGTTATTTTAGAAAAACAAGAGCTTCCTTCAGCAAGCTTTTAAGGAATGTTCTATTTATTGAAAATATTGTTAATAATTAAGTGATTAATAAATTACAGAATTGTAAGGTAGAATGAAAATAAATCCATTGTGGTTGAAACCATAATTTTTAATATTTTAAGTAGATGTTTATATTTAATTGTGTACAGCATTGCATATAATTTGAGTCCAGATGAAAGCCTGATGAAGGAAACCAAGTTTTTTGCTGAATTATTCATATTAAGTCGCATATCAAGATTCACTTTTCAAGAATTTAAAAAAAATATACATTGCGCACATATTTTTCCTTTTTTGAATTGTGCTTGCTCAAAATCTTTTAATCTGAAGGTTGAGTTATATAATCACTTTAGCACGGTAGCACATTAATTCTAAGTAAACACAGGAAGTGTCGACAAATGAATTTTCACATCATTGTCTTTATTTTCAATTTGTTTTGCCATGAAAAGCTGTGCATAGAGATCATTTGAATTATTTTCAGGGTTAATTATTAAAAGTCTGATCGATTTTTTCCCCAAAGGTGGAAACAAATTGATTTAAACATAAATACATTGTCAAAACATTTTTTCTGATTTTTAATTTATTTTTTCTAATGGTGTTTTAGCCTATAGATGAATGAAATTATAGGCAAAAGCTTCTTTTTTTTTTCTCTCTCTAAAAAAGCTAGCGGTAGAAAGCTTAGCAAGAATGGGGTAAACATTTTGACTAAATACTTTATGTCGAATGAAAAACTGCCTGATTGGAAATTTTATTATTGTACAGTAGATAGGTAACGGTTATTAAATTTTTTTTACAGCTTGCATTTTTAAAATATTTTTAACCCCATGTTTTGCGCACGTCTTATGTACACCAACTTGGGTTGAAATCACAAAATTATGCCCTTAATGTTATTAATCTACTAATACATTCACAAACATCAATCACGTGGTCGCATCAAAACAAACTATGCAGTAGTAAATCTTGGAAAAACAGTCATAATGCTTAATAAAACATATCGGGTTGTAAAGTAAGTCTGTAGCGTTTTCTTATTGGTAAATTCAACGAAAATTTCAGCTACTTCTGAAAAATTTAATGAACAATGTTGATAGGGCATGTAATTTTTCTATTACAACTTCCCAGAACTCAGGTTTTCAAGTGATAAAATCCTTGATGTGTTTTCTGCTATCCTCAAGTGAAAGATTTTCCCTATTAATAGTTTTTCAGAGTCCAGAAAAAGTTAAAATCTGAAGGGGGTAGCACATCTGAGGTCCACCTGGTGCATCTGCAGTGTGAGTTGGTAGAAAACAATTGCAATTAACAAGTGCTGGTTCAAGTTTATTTAATTGCTGCTAACTTGCTGCATACTTGTGCAGAACCACTAAAAATAATGGTTTGGTTGGGTAAAAGCTCATAATAAAGCACTCCTTTTCAAACCCACTAAATGCACAAGGTTTCCTTATTGGGATGTAATCCAGTTTTTGAATCGTTGAAGGTGGGTTACTGGATTTTTCTTCTCTGAATAGTTGTAAAATACCCATTTTTTCATCATTAGTTATCAATCTTTTTAAAAATGGGTCGTTTACATTGCATTTGAGAACCGAAATTGCGGATGAGGAACACATAATCGTTCTTATAATCATATCCAGCCACTCTCATATGCGTTGAAACGTTTATATGTTTCTTTTATGTCTCATCCCATTTAGTTAGAGTTATTTGTGACAAAAGCTTAAATTTGGTCATCATCAACATTTGAAGAACAAGTAGTGTTTTAAATCTTCCAAGTCAAAATTTCCACTCCTGAACCAACGAGCAACTTATAGAAAGTGCTTTCTCATAAAATGTCATCACTAGAAACGTTATGAATTTACCTACTAGCCTGTGCTGAGGTTTCCCCTTTGTGGTAATAAAAACACAGTAAAATTGAAGAAAATGCACGGTTTTTTCTTCAATCTTAAATTGGCATAACACTTTGTCAGAATATGAGATCTTGAACGATGGTGGAAAGACAACCATTTTGCATCTTCCAAATCAAAATTTTGTTTCTGAACTGAGCAAACCAGTTAATTGGTGCTTTTTACAAAATCGTACCATACCACTATAATTTTCCTAGCAGCCTGTTCTGAGGTTTTCCCTTTGTGGTAATAAAAATATACTAAAATTGATGAAAATCCACTGTTTTTTTAATCAATTTTAAACTAGTAAAACACCTTATAAAATATGAGATCTCAAATAATAGTTAACGGACTACAACAGTGTTTTGCATCTTCCAAATCGAAATTTCCGTTCCTGAACCAAGCAAAGGACTTGCAGAGTGTGATTTCTCATAAAACGTCCTCACCAGAAACATCCCAAATTTTTCCTAGCAGTCTGTTTTTTTTTTTTTTTTTTTTTTTTTTTTTAATAGGTTTTAACTATGTGGTTATATAAACCCTTGGGGTGCTGGTGTTTTTGAAAAAAGCCCACCTGTAATAAAAAATCTTCTAAAATTGACAAAAAACCACTATTTTTCCTCATTTTAAATTAGCAAAACACCTCATAAAATATGAGATCTCAAACAACAGTTGAAGGACCACCACTGTTTTCCAATTTCCAAACAAATTTTGCACTCCTTAACTGAGCAAACCACTTACGAACTGTTTGATTTTCTGGTTCAGCGGTTCTCCCTTTGCTGTCATAAAGCAACACATTACATGCCAAAAAATGCACTTTCCCCCATTTCAAATTAGCAAAATACCTTAACTAATTCTTTTTTGTGATAAGTAAACAATAATGACAAAATATAAATTGCTTCAAAACACAAGTGGTATAAAATTTAATTAATAAAAGAAGCTACGGACTTATTTTTTATTTTGCTGACCCGATACTTCATGGATGCATTCAAATCATTGAACTTAGTTGTTTTTTGTGCAAAATATATTGATGCTTCATTTCAAACAGTTAGTCGCATTGAAATGCTTATTTAGAACAAATGAATGTATGAATTCGATGAAAAACATCAAAACTAAATTTTACTCCAGCATTTAATAAAAACAAAGTAAAATATGTTTAAATAATCATATCGTCATTATTTTCTTGAATATTTCACATGAAAAGACAAGAAAAAAATGTTAGCGCATTGTTACTCTGTCAGATAAGTCAAGTGATTAATCAATCTTACTTGCTGTTGAGATGAAATTCGGAGAAAATACCGATTTTCTTTCAAAGATCAATTCTCTTTGCTATTTACAGCTCAATTTTCAAATTAAATTGGGCAAAATCAAGATAAATTTTAAGATCATGAACTACTCTTTTGTTGATCATCTCTGACAATTTATGTGTTAATATTATAAAAATAACAAAATGTAGTTTTTTATTTTATTTTATTATTTTTTATTTATTTATATCTATGTGACAAGGTTACTAAAATTTTGATGTATTAACCAGGAATTGAGGGTATTTGGTGAGGGTTTTATTTAATATTTTATGTGTTTTTTTTTGTTTTAATATTATATGTTGTGTTAAAAATAATTGTTGGTATTCAGGTGCCCTTCGTGGCCAGTCTGGTCGCCACGGCTAGGCCCGATCCCCCCGACACCGCCTTTATCGGCGTCCCCAGTGCCCAGCAAACTCTGGGCGTCCCCACTATTATTGAAACGGAAGGTCGAGGGTTCTCTCTTGGCGACGCCTAAGAGCGTGACCGCTTTCAGGTTCCCGCCTTGGTCGGCGCCCAGGGCGACCTCCTCCCCCGGTCTTTTGACCCAACCTTCGCCCTCGACTCCCCGAAGGCCGTTATCGCCGCTCGCCAAGAACCCACCGGTGGAACTACACGAAAGGTAAAGAAAGATACGGCGATTGAAAACAAGGAGGCGGTTGTGGCCGTGTCGTCTGCTGTGCCTTGCGCATGATTTTCTTTGTAAAAATCTTTCCTCACCTCGGAATTGGGTGATTCGGGACAACTTCAATATCATAGATTTTACTTTTAATGTTTTTTTCCCTTTAAATGTTGACTTATTCTATCACATAATTGTAATGTTTGGTACAAGTTCATCATATAAGTAGAAATACAAAATTAGCTCTTATCATCAGACAGTATATCTAACATATCTCGATATACTTTCAAATTGATTAATTTTAAATTAAATATGACCAAATTTCTGTGCTTTTTGAAGAACTTTGCTTGCCAAAACAGCCGTAAATTTGCTGGATTGCTTGAGTGGAGATGGTTAAAAATCAGCTACCTCAAAATTGATTGACTTATGAGAGTTTATACCAGTTATTCAGTTTAATAATCAAATAAACCTTTCTATTAAAAAAAAAAAGAAAAAAAAAAGGATTTAGAAAAAAAAATCCTCTCCAGAAAAATCTTTCTGATGGAAATTCTTGTCTTTGGTATATTTTAAGCTCTACATGATCATATTTCAAACTGTAAATAATTACAGTGCTTATTTTGAGTGTGAAATTAATTATAAATGAATGATAAAAGCTGATGAATGTTTCTAACATTAAAAAGTTAATTAAAAAATTATGTACTATGATATAAGTTGTTTTGAATTGATAAACTGTCTCTTGTAGTTAATCCCTGGTTGTGGTTTGTGTGAAGAAAAAAAGTCTAACAGAACGCCATTGTAATTAACACGCTTGTCTTTGCTGGGTCGTTACAGTCGGGATGGAATCTCATAGAAAAATAAAAACACAAAAATTACCACTAGCTTAGTTTAATACTAATCCTAGAGCGTATATGAGATATGCAGCTTGGTTGTAGGGGGCTGCGGAAGGTGTCGGAAAGCTGTAAACTCGGCTTTGTCAGCGGTGAAGACACGTTCGAAGGAATTGACGATATTCCACAAACGATGACGAGGGTCGTACAAATGTATGTTGAATTTTAATACATGGAAAGGATTTGGTGTTTTCTCTCCTCACTCTACACTGTGTGACTTCTATCTCTTACTTTTTTTTATAATTTTCATCTTCATTCTCACTTTTTTTATTTTATTTTATAGGTGTATTTTTTATTGCACTTGAACTTTGAAACTAAGATCTAACAGTTAAAAAAAAAAAAATTTTTTAAATAGTAACAATGGTTCAATAAAACTGCATTCTATAAATTTCATCATTTGTCTATACATTATATTGTCATCATTAGCTCTCACAGTAAATTATTAATTTAGAATTGATTTTGCACTTTAAAAAGAAAAAATTTACAGTGTAGATAATGAATTGTTTCTGTATTTGCTTTAACGCTTTGTACTGCTTTGTGTATGAAATAGAAAGAGCCGTAATCGCTTTTAAACAAAATTAATTTTTTTTTGTATCTTAAATACTGAAATGTTCTCAAAACAATGTTCGAATCAGAAACAATGGAAGTTCCTGCCTTGTTGAGACTGGATCGCTAGATAGGGGCAAAGCGGCCCTTGAAAGGAGGAAGAAAGCGGCGGAAGAAGGGCCTGGGAGCGGCCGAGTCGAGTTCACTAGGTTTAACACCAATTCGCTTATTGATCAACTGCTCAAAGCGACCAACTTAGAAAATACAGATGAAACAACAAAAAGTGAGTATTTGTTTATTTAATTTGGTCATTGCCGATCGTCCTGGTCTATCCTTGCAAATTTTATCTGTCTACAGCAGTAGTCAAATAAGAATTTAAATGGTTTCTCCACAGTGAGCTAGAACTATTGTGGAACACCTACGATTAAGTTTGGAAAGTGTCCTTTTTCTTATAGAACCAAGTGCTTTCCTCACTTCCTCTTCGCAACTTCTCTTGTAATGAGAATTACTTCGTAAAGTGGCCATACCATATGCACTCTACGCCTCACATTCACAAAGGATATAAGCCAATGTCTCTGGTTCGCCTATCTTCTTTAGCTACTACCTTCAGGGGCCTACAATCTTCCTCAAATGCAGGAGTTCCTTTGCCTACTTGACTTTTTTGGGAAATTTATGAATATTTTAACGATTTTGTCCAGGCTGGAGTTTTTCTTTTTCAATCTGTCAGTTCCAACTATCCACCCAGGGAGTTGTACACACTTAATGTGGAACTACAATGACGACAGGTGGTACAATGTGGTTAAAGCTCAGGGTCCAAGAAAGGCGTACCTCGTGTCCTCATCCAGGTTCCTTCATTCTTCCCTGTGACTCCTCTCAACCCTTGGCTACAAAGAAGGGGGTCTGGGCACAAAATAATGGTGTATCCCTGAAGGCGTGGCAACCTCTCTAAAGCACAAGCTGTACTCGTGTTGGCGTTGGGTTGGCATGGGGTGACGAGTGACTTATCAGAGGCACACAAGGGTTAGGGTACCATAGAAGTCTGCATAGACGGGGGAGGGTGCATAACCATCTGTACTACGGGGTAACATAAATGTTCCAGGGTTCAGTCCCTGTTACATTGGGAATGGACTCGTAGTGGTTTGTGGTGACGCCCCTGGCGGGAACTTAGAGAAGAGGCTGTCTTCTATCTGTGACCTTCGCACGAAACTTGCATATGACCATCGTTATACACCCGGCACAAGATATGGCGGATTGGACGGCAGCGTATAAGTGTTGAGGACGCTATGATTATGCTGTCAGAGTTCCTCAAATGCGTGAGTAGTGGCGGATGGAAATGGGTAGTGATCGGTTGCTCCTATTCGAGTATGCTTTGCATGCAGGTGTAGGCTGAGCTTGTTTGGAGGCTTTTACTGTAGGCGTGTCTCTTCTAGGGGGTGGTTAGCAATTTCACTTTAAAAATAAAACCTCGGCCAGAGTGGATCAGGTAGTTTCTACGCTGGGGAAGCCCCAATACCCTGGGAGATAGGGAGTGCGCCCCTTCTCTATCTAGAGAGTGCGGAGGAGACCAGGCTGATGTATTTTGGCTTAGATAGCCCTTTGCGCACGGCATGCAGTTCGATGCTTAATGCAGACCCGACCACTCGGAATGGGTTGTCTTGGCCCTTCGGGGCTGAACTGCCTCTACACCAATGCTGCGGCAGTAACACTCTTCTGTCATATGCGGAGAGCGAGGTTGTCTTGGCCCCTCAGGGCTGAGCTGCCTCTACACCAAAACTTGTGGCAGTAACACTCTTCTGTCGTATGTGGATGTGCATCAGCTCTCATCTTGAGAATCAAAACGTCCTATAAGGCCAAATAGGCTAGGTGCGGACATTAACCCCAGTGTTAAGAATTGGATTACATGGACGTCAGCTTTGGAATTGTTGGGATTAGTCTAAGGGGCTTTGCTAGGGCATAGTCTGGCCCTTTTACTCCCTGTGTTCGATCATCTATTTACCATATTAGGGCTCCTTACTGGAACTTGGGGTTGCCTTTCTTCCAAAGATCAGTTGTCTATTTTTAAAAAAAGATTGACTCTCACAGACACTCCACCATTTATCATTTCTATCATTGAATCGTAGTATCATCTACGACTACTTGGAAGGGTTTTAGTGTTGGGTCTTTTCGATAAAGTCTATAAGCCATTGATGATGGCAAAGAACTATTATGCAATAACAATAGAGAGTGGGGGGGCGTCGGTGGCCGCAAGGTTTAGTCTTTGACACGGCGCTCATCATTGTAAGGTAAAGGTCCCGGGTTCGAATCCAGTGGCCCTGCATTCGAATGAGACATACTTACAAATGGGCTTTTTTCCAAAAACACCAGCACCCTGAGGATTTATATGACCTCTGCTGTTGCGAACCCTCGTAAAAAAAATAATAAAAAATAAATAAATAAAAAAATAAAAATAAAATAGAGAGTGGTCTACTGTGGAACCCCGGTTAAGTGTATTTTTTTATCCACTACTGTGGAAAGTGTATTTTTTTTTTTTCAATAAAACAAACTTTTCTGCCTGTTTGCACTCTTAGAGTAAAAATAGCCCTACCGAAGTGGCTATACTTTAAACATTCTAGTTCCTCACATTCACAAAGGATTTGTGCCAATGGCTCCTTCTTACCTATCTTCTTTAGGTGGTAGTTAAGAGACGAGACCTATAATCATCGTCAAATCTTTATTGGTCTATTGTGTCCTTATTGAATTATTTATTCGATACTTGTGGAATCATTAAGGTTGTACTATGGAAAGTGCACTTTTTCGTGTAAGACTAAGCAGTTGTCTTAATTCAGCTCCTTTACTCCTGCACCTACGCCCTGTTTGATCTTAGATCCATTATTAGGGCCCCATCCTGTCTTTATGATCATTAAGAAAGGTACCTTCAACATTGGGTCTCATCTAAAAAGTTACTGCAGTTAACTCAGAACAGTCAGAAGTTAGGACATACGTACAAAACAAGATTGTAAAATGAGTTAAAAAAAGAAAACTCGCTAAGTCCTTGTTCTTTAAGGGGTGAAGATGGAATAATGCTGCCTTTTTTCAATTTTTTTTTTTTTTAATGGAATTTTCACATTGAGACGTTCCATTGTGAACAAAACTCAAATTTGTCTGACAGACTAACTCAGCGAGGAGAAAGAGACAAGGGTAATGACCATATTGCGGACTCATCAGTTTCCTTTTTGCATAATTTTACTTATTGCTGTGGGTTTCTTTTGCAGCTACGGGTTTGCAGTTGTTCATCGCCAAAGACGGTACCACGGCACTTGGCAGCCAGGAGGTGAAGAGCCAGATGTCGGCAGGCGTATTTAAACAAGTTGTTATAGAAGAAAATAGGTAACAAAGGCTCCTCACGACCCACAGTGCCAAGCCAGATTTGTATTTTCATTTTAATGTAGTTGATTCGGAACAAAAGAACGACATCATACTTTTCGTATTATTGTCACCGGCATCCTTGACAGGCATGGGAGATAAGTTATTCAGGGAACAAAAATGAAATTCTTCAAAATTTTCTTTGCCTATCGATTTTAATTAGACAATATCAATAATAACTGTGCCCTTTGTTTAATCGTCGTTGTGATTGTAAAACAAAACAAAAAATATTATGCTGTTATCTAATCGATGTTTAACTACCAACACCAGATTGAAAATTATAAAAGTGTTTCTTTTTTTATTATGCATGTGCTTCCAATAATTATAGAGAAAAATATAATAAAAGTACATATATAAAAGTAAATTTGCCAAATAAGTAAGGTATTTTGTATTTGGAAAAACAGAAAAAAAGCAAAAAAAATTTTTGTCTCGTTGTGAAACAGGCCTCAAGCCTGGAGTGTTCAAATATAATCAATTATATAATATATAACAAAAACAAAACAAGTATAATGGAAAAAATAAACTCTTAATGTGTATTGTAAGTCTGCAATATTGAGCCTTGACGTATCTAAGGTGTAATTTTAACTTATGCATTTATCTTGTTTGCTTTGTGTAAAAAAAGGTGGATTTTAAAATAAGCAAAATAGGAGGAAAACATGTAGTGTAAGAATTCTGTTTCTTAAATATTCAAAATGTGATTTAGAGAGTTTTATCAGCTCTGATCAGGATTGGAACGAATGTTATAATTTGAAAAATGAAAAAAAAAAAAAAATAATAATTTGCCAAAGAATGGTATTTCTTGTCTGATTTATGAGTTTTGTGTGTTAGATAGTATTTTAGGCATTCCTTCCTTGAAAATTTTAACTTCCAATTGAATAAATTTACTTTTTTTAAACTTTATTATTTTTTAAATTTAAAAATAAAATGAAGTTGAGCCTGTTTTTTTGACAGCGGGTTGTAAAACTCATAGTCTTGATTGCAACTTGATAGCCTGAATTTGATTCCCTGAAAGTGACAATATCCATTTTTCTTTTTTAAACGACGCTGGATCTTCTTTTTGAAACTTTTCTTATTTATTTTCCCGCATCAGGAAATTTTTCTACAATGAAAGGAAATGGATAAATGCAAATAAAAGTCGGTATTGTACATATGCTAGCTCATTGTGTATCGTGCTCATTAATCGTTAAGTGCGTACGTTTTTCGAATTTTTGTAATTTACTGTTTTTCTTTTGTGAGATATGTAAAGTAAAAAGAGCACATTTTTTGCCAAAATATTTGTAATTAACAATAAAACAAATGTAATTAAAATTTTCCCCTTCTTTTTTTCTCTCTCTCTTTTTTCTTTCTCTCTCTCTCTCTCTCTCTCACACTCTCTCTCTCTCTCTCTCTCTCGTAATTCTCAGGTATGTAAGTTGTTTCATTTCACTCTGTTTTTTCTCTTTTTCCTGTATGTTTTGTTCTGAACGAAATATGAAAGAGAGAAATTGTATTACAATAAAAAAAGGTACTAGTCTTTTGTTTTTTGTTTTTTTAAATTATTACTTAAACGATTAAATATGTTCAAATTATGAGAGCTGGTTTCTCTATAGACAACAAGAATAAAAAGACTATTCTATAATTCGAGTTCAAAATTTATTATTTTTTCATCACACAAATAAAAATAATAATAATAAGGAGAAAAGATGTATTATTTTTTATCTATTTCTTGTTTGTTGTAAATCTTGTAATAAATTATTATTTATTAATTGGTATTTTTTTCTAAATCCCACATTACAGCCAGAGCCAGTGGATTAACATAGAACCATCTTGCAATGGACAAGTTGTTGCCTGAAAACAACACGAACATGGGCGATTATATAAATTCCACCAACTATTTGAAGCAGTGAATAAAAAAAATAATAAAAAAAAACCAATAGCAGCAATTAAATAAAAGTATTTTTATTGAAAAAAAATTCTTTGTGTTGTTTGTTAATACAATGCTTTTTTCCAAATAACTAAGCACTTTCCTTGGTATATCTTTGCACACTTCTGTTTTTGTTAAAACCAACATAGGCTATTCGAAATCGTTGGACTAAAATTATATTTCATCAATCTTCTATAGAAATGGTACCAGTGTGGGATCAAGCAACTGGCAGAAATATGGATAATTATCAATAATTTGATCAAAATATGTCTCACACCCTTCAAAAGAAGGAAGCTAACATTAAAAGCACCCACTATAAAAGATAAAGCCATTATCTCCAAAGAAACTAAATACTACTAAGAAATTAAACCTTGACCAAAGGCTCACAATGGGAAAACAGGCAATAAGTATGTTGTAACATAAGGGCAAGGCACTACTAACCATTGGCTAAAGATTGAGTAAAACTGAGTAATAAACCCCAGGAAGGAGGATTGGCTACACACTTAAACAGTCAGAGGCACAAAACAAAGTGTACAAAGATGCATATTTTAATATAAATGTGCACTTGAACCACAGCAGTGATGGAATCGCACTCAATCTCCTACCCTAATACATTCATATACAAAAAATGACTTTTAAGAGTGCCAACAGAATCCTGAGGAAAACTCAACTTGGCACACTCTTCAAAGTGGGTTAACAGATAAATAACAGGAGAGCTTAATGTCCAACTACTCATTAAGTATCGTGGATGAGGGGTATGTTTCATACTGTAAGCCGGTGCCCGTCTTAGGGATAAGTTTTAGTTGTTAAATTAAGAAAAAAATAGGGTAAACGATGGTAGGGAATAAAGGTTGTAAATCTGAAGGGGCGATTACCCAGATGGGAACGACGTGACGTCCCCCTCAAATCTGACAAACATAACTTTGAAATAATTACAGTCGGACAGATAGATAAGAACGTCGAAGGGTGTCGCAGACCCAGACTGGACCCACGTCATGTTTCCCACGAACCTGGAGAACATAAAGTAGCAATTAGTTGGACAACCGGTCAAATAAATAACTATTGTCTAGTTATTTAGTGCTGAAGGGTTGTCACATGGTCAAAAATATGTAGCCGCGTGGGACATCGTAAATTGGGGTCGTGTCAACCATGTCTTCGCCGGTTCACCCACGGCATGGGAACTCCCCCGACTTTTGAGTTTCCTTTCCACCCCTACTCCGGTAGAGAAACTGGTATAAAAGGGATGACTGGGAAATCAAAAGTCAGTCAAAACCGAAGATTCACCCCAGTTAGTCAAAACCGGAGACACCCTCAGGCAGTGAACAGTCGGCTCCAGGAATCGATCCGGAAGAGAAGCAGCCACACTCCTTCTGGGACTCAACAAGGGGACTTGGCCAGCCAAAGCCATTGAAGACCAGCAGTTGCGACTCATCGGATCAGGACGACGGTCGAGAAACCTGAAAGGCACTGGATATGGTGAGGACACTGATCGTGGCGATCATCGTTTGGGGTAAGTCCCTTTGTTAATATACTCATCCCAGATTTAGAGTTGTGGCTGACTTTTAGATTGATTAAGATTCTGTTGTTTGAGTACCGTTAAGAGACGGAAGTGAGTTACAATAAACATTAAGGAATATACTCTCTGATTTATTGAATTCTAGAACCTTACCTTCCCCTACACAAGAATAAGTAGCGACGTGCATACCCCGACTCATCTCTTGTCGCTTAGAGAAAAGCAAACGAATATTGAGAGATTATTCGGCCACCGCACCGTCGTCCGCTTACAATACTATTCTCAATTACAAAACCATGTGCTGTGCCAGAATTCATTCCATTACCACTAGCATAGCATAGCAAATACAAGCCAGACGCTCTAACCATTTGGCCTGCAGTTCCCCTTCAAAGTGGGATGAGTAGTAGGTATACTGATGTCCAGGTGGAGAGTATGTGTAGAGGAAAAGGAATTACACCCTAGCAAAACCCTTCAGATTGTTGGGCAGCTATAAAAACACTAAATAGCTTTAGCAGATAGCCTAATGATATTAAAAGAACACAACAAGGTTACCTTGAGGTGGGTTCCAGGGTATGAATGCATGGAAGGAAACCGGCTAAGTAACCAAAAAAGGGGCTGCCCTCTTACCCATAGGTGTGGAAACACATCCAGGCACACTGGAGACTGTGCGAAAATTTGAACTGGAAAAATAGCTTAAGAAAAAAAAAAACTCAAACACTAGGCAAAAGCACCGGGAAAGGAAAGTAAAGTAACTACTCTGAGAGGTGTGATTTGTTAAAGATAGCCTCATAACTACCACCTAAAGAACATCTTCATAACAAACCAGAGCCTTGACACATATCCTTTGTGAACATGAGGCAATAGGCTGTATACAGTATAACCACTTTGTTAAGACAATTCTCACACCAAAAGAAAGGTGCAAAAAGGCTTAGTTTTATGGGGAAAAGTGCACTTTCCGCAGTTTTGTCTTAATCATTGGGGTTCCACAATAAACCAACATAGGTCTACCTATGGAGTATGGATAACGTGTAGTAGCCCTTTTGCCATCATCAGTGCTGGCTTTATAAACTTTATATTAAAGATCCAACACTGAAGATAGACAACATAGGTCTTTTGAAGAAAATCATCCGTAAGTTAAAGGTAGGAGCCATAATGTAGTATTCTGATAGATCAAGGATGGAACAGGGTGTAGGGGTAAAAAGTTTGAATTACACCTTAGTCTCTTTGTACTGGTTTCAACTATACACAATGCTGAGATTATGCTATCTAAATCTTAGCTCGGGGCTGTCGGTGACCGCATAGGTTGAGGCGCTCATCACTGTAAGGTAATGGTAAATGCATAACGTTTAGCTCCAAACTTGTGTGGGAATGCCCAAATTGCCTAATGACCCTAGGAAAACAGAAGGTTACCAGGACAGGTACGTTCCAGGACGTGAAAATATAAAAGGAAACAGGTTGACTGACTAGCCATTGATAAATTCAAACTATATTCCGACAAAGAGTTGATTAAGAACTACATACATTCATACAGTCAGGAAGCTATAAAAGCACTAAATGAGTATGCTCTTAGCACCAGAGGAAATCAGGGAATGCCTAATGGCTCTAGCGTTTTAGCCCTTTCGCCATCCTAAGAGGTGTATTTTTCTCAAGTGTGTATCCTATGTGTAGAAATACAAAAGCTCCACAGCCCAGTCTCTGATAGACAAAAATGTTGAGGTAGGCCAAAATGACCGAGAATAAGCTACAGGTTCAGATAAGGTACATATTAAGTTAAGTATATTTGAACTAAAAGCTTGGGTTGTATATTGAATGATTTATTTACATTCTAATGATCCTAGTGAAAAACTTTGATGTGTTACTAGAAGTTTGTTAAATTTCAACATTCTTTTAGAATATTACTACTGTCTTTTCAAATAATATTGAAAATTCTCTCCAATCGATGGTGATAAATACAAAAAAAAATTCAGAATCCATCAAGGCGACAATTGATTTAAAAATGAAGTGGAGATGAACAGGACAAGGCATAATAGGGCCGAGGGCGAGCTATGCCCTGATGAAATTCCTATGGAGCAAATTGCATTCCTAAGCCAGGGATGGACTCATATCACACCGATTCGTCGGCCGTGTTGAAATCTTTATTCGAGATGGTGGCCCAGTTTCTGAAAACGGCTCTTAGTAAAATGAACCGCAATTTTTATGCCTAAAAACGATAAGAAAGACGTCGAAATACCACTTAGTCATACTCATGTACTCTTTCTTTAACGACGAAAATAACCGGACCGGGCCCAGATATTCTCGCTTTTGTTTATAGCAAAGGGTAAACTTTTTGACAAAAGCCAGGTATGACATGAAATACCCGAATGTATCATCTTTTGGTACCCTCTCTTGCAAAGCTGTTTAAATAAAACATCCAAAACCATTGAGAAAGCCAAAAAAGTGACACGGACAAATTATAATAATAAAACATGAGACCAGTCATGACATGTAACATGATCTCAGGCAGCTGCCATCCTCGTCGATTATCGAACAAGCGATGCATATGTTGATATATTGACTAGAGCTGTTGAGGTGTTATTGGCTGTGGCTGGTGTTTTCAGCTTGCTCTTTTAGACTTGAGATCTAGTCGACGGGACTGTTGACTGCTTTAAGCAGGTTGACTCCCTGATGTTATAGAGAGATACTCTAAGTTCATTGGCTGCTGTTAGGACGTCGGAAACATTGTCGAAGCAGTGGTAACAAGTAGCTTTCTGAGTCCTTGCCCTGAGAAGGACCAATGTTGCTTTGGAGCTACTGACCGCCGTTGTGGTTATGGATGAGCCGGATGGACTACCGTTTAATTACATTTTTATTGATTTTGTGAATTTGAAAAGAGAAAAAAAAAAGCGTCGGGACGCGTTGTTGCTGACCGTTGTTCCATGTACAAGCACCCTCAATTTTTCTGTAAATGATCTTGTATACTCGTTTGTTTCTTTTTTTTTAATGTAAGGGCTGTACGTTCATATAATTTCAGGAGTCTTTTTTTCTGGAACGTTAGAGGTCGGCGTATCACAAGAAAACGGTCGAGGATTTTTTCGCAGGCTTTCCTTGCGATTTTTCTGTAGCTCAAGTTTAACAGGAAGAATCGTTTTTGTTCAACGAAAAAGAAGTTTAAATACCTTCATCTGGCTCTGTAAACTTTTGCTTTATCCACTGGCACCATCACACCTATGTTGTATTTAATGTAATGTTTACAATCTCCAATTTGATCAGTTGGTGCACCATCACATTGCAAAATCTTAAAAATACGATCTGGTAAAACTAAAAGTGGAACTTTCCTAGAGAGGGAAGATGTTATTGCGAGCCTTTCCAAGTTTCGTATTGGTCCTTCGTAAGCTTTGCTTGAATTAAAGTTAAACCCAACGCTGATTAGGAGGTAAATGTTAAAGCTGAGGATGAGGATGAGCAAGCCGAGGCATCTATTAGAGCTTCGGAACAATTCCCAAAAATTTCCCCTAACTATCCCTAACGACCTTACCTTATTATGCTTATTGACATCACATCACTATTTATAGTCTTTTACTGGCCATATTGGCCACATAATTTCATTTCGAACATCACTTTACTTTAGTAAATAATACATGATGAAATTGGTATAAGAGTTTGTATCAATACAGTTATGTTTAGGAGGAACCTATAAGGGTTTAACGCCTGTAAAACCCTTAACCAACAAAGAATATATAAGCATTTGATTTGACTGAATAATTAACTGAAATAGCAATCGGTGGCGTGCTTTGGGGAGAAACTATATACCACAGCACCTTCCATCTTAGCAAGCGGGGTCTATTGAACACTTCGCCAGGAAGATCGAAAAGCTGTGAATTAACTACAAAAGAACAGCCATCTACATTAGCACCAACCTTATCGGTACTAAAATCCAGAGCCGTTTGGGATACCATTGAGGACCTGTCAGACGTTGGAGTCAACAAGAAAATTACTCTTGTTTTTGTACCAGAGCACAACGAACAGAGGCCGATAAAAATTGTCGAAGGAAAGTTCGCCGAGGACACTTATCGGCACATTGATTTAAGTCCTCAGTTCAATAGGAAGGGCCATCGCAGAAACTATATCTATGCAGTCTTGCCTAGGACGTGTTAGAGCTAGAATCATAAGACTGCTAACTCCGCAGGCATGTAAATTCTCGGATAAGCAGAAAAAGCCAGTGCAGTTATTGCCAGGAAGAAGAAAAAACAGCGGAACATCTCTATTGATATGGTGGCCTATGTATGCTGATCTACTCCTGGAAGATGAAAAGCCAAAACCAGAAGGATACACGTGGAAGTCCTTGACAAAGCTTTTGGATCTGATAAAAAGCCTTAAGCTTACCGAAGAATTCTAGATTATGCTGGAGATCGCGCAATAGACTAATATTGCTTGTAAGGTGGGAAGAGAGGCCGAAACTTTTTATCCTTAACATCTCCGACTCAAGAGATACTCTGAGGATTTCGCACATAAGGCATCGTTTCGTCACGCAATTTGGTCACAAAAAAACTACTTGTACTTGGTACTAATCCGTCCCATATGGGCAGTACATATGGATCTCTTTGGTCACACCCAAACATGCCGAATGAAGATGGAGCAAAGCAGTTTTATGTCTCATATCCAACGATTCTATAAAAAAAACGTTTGACCATACAGAAAGACCCTTATATTTCTGAGGTAAAGTAAGTTATAAAATAAACCAATACTTTACATAAAGATTAATTAATTGAAAGAAGTTATTTGGTCAATCGGACCACGAAATATAATGGATTTTATAAAGTAAATATCAACACGTCTCCACCTTACAAGGTCCACGACCGCACTGCAGCAAATGACTTATTGTTAGACCTGACTGGTGTGCAAGCTCTAACATCAATTTTTTCATAAGCTAGTGGACCGATTTTCAAGGTTAACAATTCGTTTCAAAGGGGCGTCGGTGGCCGCCAGGCGTTGACACGGCACTCATCACTGCAAGGTAAAGGTCCCGGGTTCGAATCCGGCAACCTACAAATGGGCTTTTTTTCAAAAACACTGGCACCCTGAGAGTTTATACGACCTCTGCTGTTGCGAACCCTCGTTAAAGAAAGAAAAAAAAATCGTTTCAGAGAAATTGTCATGTAAATTTTATAACTGTATAAAGCATTCAGACTCTTAATTCTATTTTAGAAAATGAGGTTAATTTCTGACAAATAATTTTGCTATTTTGTGTATTTTCTTATAAAAATATTTTATATATTTTAATGGTAGATACGTCGTTAAAAAGCTACGCCCCTCTCTTTTCAAACAGTCTGTTTGAATTATAGATGTTTCAATCAGATATTCCTAATACAACTCAAAAATCGGAAAAATTTTGGGGTAAAAAAATTAAATATAAATTCAAACAGACATTTGTATTTACGGGTGCTAAAATGCAATTTCATATTAGTTTCACGAAAAAAAAAAACAAACGTATGACGTAGTTTACTTCAAAAATATTTGGTTTTTAGAATTGTTTGGTTATTGGTAAACTTTCATACCTTTTACTATTTTTTTTTGCAACTTACCTAAAAATGCTGTAAAATAACAGAGCAAGTAGATAGGCGGAATAAAAATATTCTAACTTAACGAAATAACTTTCAAAAATTTATTTAGAAATCGTGAGATGTCTGGTGTGATGTAGGTTTCAGAAAAACATTTTCTTTATCGTGCCAACTTTTCGATCTTTATTGAGATTGAAAGTAACATACCTATGATTGCAAAAAACCTAAGCAAAATCCTACAGCACTCGCTACCACAATTTCGACTTCAAAAATCCAAAAGTATTACACACAGAACAAAACAAACATAAACGTAATTTCTTAGAAATGGTTTATATCAACAGAGATAAACACAGCATCAATTACAGAACAGATACATGTAAACTCAGTCGCAGTTACGCCAATATCATTAATCAAATTCAATACAGATAACATACCTGTATCATCACATTACATTCCACACATCAAATATTTTTCACATAGTCTAATTTCCCAACAATTTAGCTTTCCTTTTCCTATTTATCCCTTTCTATATAATCCTGAAAGGATAATCTGGCCGAACCATTACAACACATTTTTTCCCTTCGTCGGCTTGTTTCACCTCAAAGAAGCAGACGCCTTATACAAAAATGTCTTTTCTATACCGACATCCTTCCCCACCCCTTCAAAATCCAGCATATATAAACATAAAATAGCAAAATCTCACCGGCACTCTCGACACGACACGCAAGAATGGCACAATTACACAGAAGACCAACACTTTGAGTTAGTAGAAATACTTTGATTGAATATATAAAAAATATATTTTGCATTGGATAAATTCACTTTTCCACATTCAAAATGTAATTGTTATATGTAAACAATGTTTGTAAATCCCAGGCCCTGAATAAAGATCGAAACGATGGCACGATAAAGAAAATGTTTTTCTGAAACCTACATCACACCAGACCGCATCTCACGATTTCTGAATAATTATCGATTAATGGTCACTAATCACCACACATTTCAAAAATTTCTTTTGGCGAAACCTGCGCCAATTCACAAGAAGTGGGGGATAAGTGTCCGGAGTGTAAAATCACCCAAAAGTTTTGTTCAAATACGTGACCCACCAACTTGGTAGTCTCGATTAATTCGACAAAAATACATAAATAGAAGTCATAAATTCGATTCGGTGTTTATTTTGGCATACTCTTTCTTTGTTTTGGCCTGGTGTTTTTCGGTCTTTCACTATCACGCATGCAAGTGCCTTGGTGGATAGTGGAATGTTAAGGCCCAGAAGAAATGATACCTATTAATTATTAAATGGCATTTCCGCATAAACACATATTGTTGCAGCATATTCCAGCAGAACGTAAAATATGCAGCGAAATTCTCCGGGTCTGGACAATCGGGACCAAATTTTCAATCCTACCTCTAATTTAAAAGGTTTAGACAGTTTACTAATGAAAAAGCAATATATGTGAGTTTTATTGTCTCCGAGAAAGAAATTGTCTAAAAATTAGCCGCGGCCCCGAAAGGGAAAGCATGCGCGTTGCCCAGGACAGAAGCTCGACCGCTCATTCTCGAGCCGGATGTCGACTGCATCCCTGATCCTGGTGACATCCTTGTCTCTGGTGCTGACGGGAGCCGATGCCTCCCTGCCCAGGGGGGTGTACAACGTACCCCTGGACGCCAAAGCGAGGCACAACCTCTTCTGGTCACTCGACTACGACAAACAACTCGTGAAGTTCGAGGCGCACGTCAGACTCGAAGACGACCAGTGGTTCGCGGTTGGCTTCTCGGACAGAGGGACGCACGAAAACGGTGACTACTGCATTATCTACCCTGACAAATTTCAGCGGCTTCGCATCGCTGTAAGATTTTCTTTAAATACACAATTTTAGTAAAATGAAATGCAGTTTTCCTCCGGTATAACTTTTAGCATGACTTTTTGACATATAGATGAATTTTTGGTCCCCATATCGCTGTAAGATTTTTCTTCACCTTTGATGGTGAAGGAAGAAAACCATAACTTTTATGCAAAGAACAAACTGTTGAAAATTTTAGTTTTTTTTAGGATCATCAGAAAAATCCAACTGGTATGACAGTTCAACAGTTCGTTCATTCCTTGTATTTTTTTTTTTTTTTTACTTATTCGATATTGAAATCTTCGAGTGATCTATTTTTTATAACACGTTTTATGGTTAGACGTCATTAAAAAAAGGCAAATATTAGAAATTTCACCAAAAAAAGTGTAGTTCAATCCGTGAGTCCCCTTGTTAGATCTTTTTCTAGATTAATTCGACCAAAACACTAGCATAAATTAAAGCTTGGTGGTCATTTTGCCTTTTCTTGAGTGTCTTCAGAAAAAAAATCAACTAGTATGAGAAACTAGTCTTTAGTTCGATATTAAAATCTTCGACTGATCTTCTTTCTTTTATAACACGTTTTATGGTTAAACGTTGTCATTGAAAGATAAGAAGTAAATATTAAAAATTCTAGTTTTCCTTGGGGGTCATCATGAAGAACGACCTGGTATGAGAAAACTTGCCTTAGTTTTGTACGTAGCAATAAAATTCAAATATTATTTTACAACTTAAATAGAAATTAATATAAAGGATGTAGCTATAAACACTTTAACGAGAAATCCCGTTTAATCTGACATTTGAGAACAATAATTGTCTTTGTCTTCAAGTCTCAGTTCAACAGATAGTTCATTCAGTGAAATTTTTTCCCCTTCTTGGTTTATTCGATATTAGTTACATACTTTGAATTTTATTCCATATATTAACAAAATTTATGACCGTTGTTATTGTTAAAAATGTTGGAAATTCTAGGTTTTCTTAGGCGTTTTCTTAAAAAACAAATGTATGAGACGCCGTTTTAGACGACGCAATCGACTGCATACATTGGAAGTTTAAGTTTCTCTCTCCTAACTCTTATCTGGGTAAATTAAGGAGAACCAAGATCTCTACCGAACTAGTTAGACTGGTCAAAGCACTCTTGTGTGGAAAACTATATATTCAATAGAGGATGTGAAAAAGTTGGTTGAGAAAAATTAAGAAACCTTTTGCAAAAAATTGACATAAAAATTCACTATAGTTATCTGATCAGAGGGTTTCGTCTCCTTTAGATCTAAAATATAAGAAAACTATTCCTAATTTCAGTATTGAAACCTTAAAGATTTGAAGGTGAAATATATCTCTGCGCATCCTATTTGTCCTCCATGCTAAACAGACCAAGACTTCCCTCTTTCATTTTTTGTAAATGAATTTACTGATTTGTTGTTTACACGATCCAGATTCGAGCATTAAACGCTCAATTTTGAAAAATTGAGTTAAACAAAACAAAATATCCTAATAAATATTGTAAGAAAATAATTTTAAATTAACGACTAATTTGTATGTCAAATATTTTTACAACCATGTCTAGGTTTTGAGAAAATGTTTCTAAGTGAACACGTACCTCTAAAAACTACTCTAAAACCTTCTAGTTTAAAATTTAATTAATTGTCTTGATAGTTTACCAACGTATGGCAAGCAACGAAAACTAAAGATTTTTTTTTGGTGGGGTGTCTGGGACCGATTGTTGCTTCTTTTAAAGTTAATTTTTTTATTATTTTTACTAGCAACCTATTGATGAATATTTTTAATATCCATTGTTTTTAGCTTAGGTTTTAATTGTTTGTAATTTTTTTATAACAGCAGGTGTTAATGGGGTGAATGAGCCAAATGAATCCAGCAGCAGAAGCAAGAAGAATCTGCTGGTATTATGATGTCTGCAATTGTGGGTTTTCTATATAACAATATTTCAATTAGGTTATTACTATCGTAGGTCGTCTAAATAGCATTTAAAAAAAAGGACAGATTTAATTAATTTGTTATTAGATTGTACAACAATTTTTCAACTCCATGGGGTATCTATTATCCCCACTTTGTGCCGAAATATCGGATAATACTGAAAGCTCATTCGTATTACAAATCTACGTTTTGATTTTCATCCGTATAATATGCCTTGAAAAACCACCCTAGGCTGGCACTCTCTGATGGATTAGAGGGTGAATAAGTCTCTGGAGCAATATTTAACGCGACGTGGAGATAAAGGTAAGAAATGAGACCTTGAACGAAGGGAATGTTGAGGCCATTTTGGATGTTGAAGTTAGAATCGGGAGCTTGGAGAAATCTGAGAAATTTTGATTGGAATGCTTGGATGGATTGACATTGGATGGAATCGTGGTACCCCTCCGTATTTCCAAAATAGGTCGTATTATTCTTCTGTATAGCTTTTGTAAGGCTTTGTGGTTGTGAACTTGGACAGTACTAATATGGACTTTTGATGGGAATTCTTGGAAAGGTTGGATATTTGACGGCTTCATGTACCATACAATTTTTCTTCTTAAACAGTTCGAATACTTGTAGTTTTGTAGAGCTTCGTGGTTGTAAGCTTGGAGAGTACTTCTGAGGACTTTTGATTGCAATGCTTTGATAAGTTGGGTATTTGATGGCTTTGTCCATACAGTTCTCCGTCTTAGGCCAAATAGGTCGAATTATTGTTTTGTAAGGGGATTTGTTGTCCTAACTTACAGGATACAAATAAAAATAAGTACATAAACATAGTTTTTTCTAATTAAGTCTCTTAAAATGAAACATTTTAATTATTAATTAAAGCGATAATTCGATCGTACTGAAAGGTTAGCCTTGCAAAATTCTCACGTCGAGCAAAATCTAAATTAAGCCGAGTCAAGGCGTTTATTTTTAAAAGGAAACGTTTTCCAAGTTGCCGCTAATTTGATTTATGTGGGGTTTAGTTGGAAGAAAAGGATTAATGGAAATCGGGGAGCGAGAAAATCCTAAACATTTTCCTCTTTGAACCTGTCTCGGGAAATAAATCTTAAACACTGTGAACCAATTTAAATTCATTTGAACAGAGGTCGAATCGAATTTAACCTTTAACCTGTCTTCCACTTTTTTTTTGACAGCATACATAAGAAAGTAGAAATAGATATAGCAAAACATAAAAATGAAAGTTATTTGTACTATGGGGGTGATTGCTTTTTTAGTTTTAAATATTCTAAATGATTAAAGCCGGTGTTGTTGAAATAGCCAATTTGGGCCATGTTACAAGATTTTCATTGTCTTAGTGTCAAAAAGTCAGAGCCGGTAGGTAGAAGTACCCAGTGAAACTCCACACACGATAATTAAATGAAATACCTTTGGCATGTTCGGCAAACATCCAACAGTTTGCAAATCCTGCAAGACCGGACCGTCCTGCGGGTTCACTGGGTTTATTGATGGCAAGGACAGAAAGGCTTTGCCGTTTTCCAAATCAGCACGATAAAAGGATTAAATCGAGAATTGTTGATCCAAAAGAATAAACCCACTCACCTGAAACATAGGATATAGGATTGTTAATGATCTCGCAAATCCAAGGAACAATGTCAAGATAAAAATGATTAAATGAATAAATAAATCTACCTTCTTTTTTAAGTATATATATCTCCAATACTACCTTCCACAACGACCTTAAAATCCCATTTATCCAAAACGTGTAATTAGTGGTTAATCGTTAAACGATGATTATTCAGAAATCGTGAGACCTCGTGACACCAGACCGCATCTCACGATTTCTGAATAATTTATCCAAAACATAATTCCTCAAAAATTTACAAAGTTCCCCAATAATGTCTCCGATCGCCCCAACAGTACCAATCCCGACAACCCCATAAGGAACCCAAGAGGAAACGGCCCCGCGACTTCCTTTCTGTGTAGTAGGCAGTGAAGTTTATCGAGTGAAGTGGAGTGGGAGAATAATATTATTTCCTTCCCACAATTTAATTATGTAAATAGCTGTAAATATATCTATGTTCAACAAATTACATAGTGCAACCATATATTACAGATTGTAATAAAATTATGGTTTTTTAATTTATCATGGGAAAAGAGAATTTATATCAATTTTGTTTTCTACTTTGTTTAGGACATTGTTAAGTTTGTAACCATTAGGTAAAATTTAGAGTTGTTTGGTCTTTATTAGTATTTTTAAGTGCACTGTACTTCATATTTTTAAGTTTTTTTTATCCATGGTATTTTGATTTTTATCAATATTTTTTTTTTTTTCCGGCCGGCTAGCTGCCTGGGCTATTGCCGGTTTATCAATAATAAATTTAACTTTTGACCATGTATCATAACCGAATTTGAAATAAAAAAAATTAAAATTAAACATGGAGATAAACGCATAAATAATATAATGATTTTGATTTACCTCCTATATTAAACATGTACTAAAATATTTGATAATCAAATTCATCATTAATTTAAAATTATTTTCTACAGCATGCAGAATATATTATAAAAAAATTTAGTTTTGTTGTAATTCACGTTTTTTCGAAATTGAGCGTCAATTAATAAACCAGATTCTCATAGGAATGTCGCATTGGCAGTTTAAAATTCATGTCGAGGGACGTGTTTGTAACTCTTGTAACTCCTTCAACCTGATGAGCGTTTAATGCTCGAATCTGGATCATTGTAAAGAATAAATCTCTGAGCAGAACCATCATTTACAAAAATTGAATATACCCCACCGTCCACCAAAAGTGACTGGTGCATAAATAGGAAATAATATATTTAACAATAAGTGGAAGCGCATGTATGTTTAAAACCGCATGGGTTGGAGTTTGATATGACTGGTAAGTTACGACAACTGGAAAAATCTCAAATATGTATCTTTTCTCCAGGGGTCACAGGTGATTGGTTTTTGTAGTGTACTATAGATCTCATTTGTTTCATAAATAGACACATTTTTTATATGTTAGGCCATTAAAGGCTGGTTTTATAACTGTTTTCCATCTTTAAGATATGTTCCAGGAGGCACCGGTGATTGCATGCCTCAATAGTGAAAATGCGTTTGATACTGTTACACAATATTCACAAAACGCATTCTTTTAAAGCATCAATTGGTTAGGATTGATCTTTTTCTAGATTTTTTTTTCATTTTCACCTGTTGACAGTGCTCAGTCTGTTTTTCCCTAGCGGACTTTCAATGGGATCTGCTCAAGGATCTTTTAACATGATTCTTCTTTCGTTCTGCTTTAGTTGAGCCACATGAAGTGCTGACTTCTTCCTTTCCTATTTTTAGTGAAGTTGGAGCTCTCAAACCCTGTGTGGACTTTATGGCCAACAGTGTTTGTCTGCTCTGTCTCTTATGAAATGTTCTTAAGTACAGCTTGGGGTACTCTCTCTAGGCTCTTAGGAGCTCTAAGCTGTACTTTTCTTTTGGAAGCATAATAGTATCTGTGTGGTTTTGATTTGTAAGTAGGAAAGGTGCTAATGGTCACCCTTGTCAGAGCTTGCATGTCAGGGGAAAGCATTTATTTAAATCACTTATTAATACTAAACTACTCTCTAATCAAGCAGCCATCAGTTAAAGTTGATCCACCTTGGCTTGGGGGAAGATAATTTTGAATAAAAAGTTGAGCTATAATCTGCTTCCTACAGACAAAAGTCTCAATGGATTAGTAGTAAATCCCCACTACTGGGTAAATTTTGACCCACATTTCTCTTAAACTAATTAAACAAGTGTGGCATAAATAACATTGGGAGTTAGAAAAGTTAGGTTTAAATCATTTCTTACTTTTAGGATATATCAACAGATGATAAATGCCTTGTGACAGTTGATGAACAACAGGATTGCAAGAATTTCGCGAGTAAAAGATACGGTTACATGACAAAAATAACATTCACAAGGGCTTTTGACACATGCAACAAAAACGATTATAAAATAGAGGTAATAATCCCAAATTGTTCCTATTGGTTCGAAAAACTTGAATTTTTTAATATTTGTATCAGGAAGGTACGACTCATATAGTATGGGCGATAGGCGTTACATTTCAGAATAAAAGAAAGCTCTGTGACCAGATTCAGGAAGGCATGGTAAGGACACAACTGCTGAAAAACACGATGGACAACCCTGTGCTCCCACCAATGACATGGTCGTATGCAGCGACAGCTCCGACAGTCCGGGTGCCGGGCGTTGAAACAACATACTGGTGCTATTTAGTCAAACTGCCCCAGCAACTTGACCAGAAGCACCACATAATAAAGGTTATTTGATTGAATTTATGACTTTTAGAGGAAGAAAAAATTATTCAAATTTTACAGTTTGAGCCTATTATTACAAGAGGGAATGAAGGACTTGTCCATCACATGGAGCTGTTTCACTGTGAGAGCGAGGATGTTAATGCAATACTTTCTCAGTACTCAGGACCCTGCGAGAAGAAACCAAAAGAACTGGAAGTTTGCAAAAAGGTTCTAGCCGCTTGGGCCATGGGTGCAACACCTTTTTATTACCCTGAGGTCTTAATAATTTTTTAAACAATAAAATCAATTATACAGGGTGACTTGCTACTCGTGCTACAAACTTCACCAGTAGATTCTTGACCCTAAAATGAACAAAAAAGTTCATATTGACCATGGTCCGATTCTCAACCATTTCAGAGTAATTTCGCTTTTTATCGATTTTGAAAGATATCACGTCCTGGCGTCGGAAAATCGTGATATCTTTTAATCTAAACATTTCTCTTAAAATCTATAAGCACCGTTGAAATCCCCGTTAATTTTTCAATAAGAAGATGAAGGTGGCAAAACGTTTGGGTCTTTCTTCCTTGACCTTCTAGCTGTTTGTAAACTTCTTAAGCATTACATACTAAATGGGCATTAAATTAAATTAAAAAATTTCAATGGAATTATGATTTTGATTCTCTCTAAAAATTAACGGGGATTTCAACGGTGCTTATAGATTTTAAGAGAAATGTTTAGATTAAAAGATATCACGATTTTCCGACGCCAGGACGTGATATCTTTCAAAATCGATAAAAAGCGAAATTACTCTGAAATGGTTGAGAATCGGACCATGGACAATATGAACTTTTTTGTTCATTTTAGGGTGAAGAATCTACTGGAGAAGTTTGTAGCACGAGTAGCAATTCACCCTGTATAATTTAAAAAAATAATATGAATTGTAGGAAGCGGGCTTACTGGTTGGAGGAAGAGACTATTCAAAATATGCAATGCTTGAAGTTCATTATAACAATCCTTCCCTGAAGGCAGGTAAGCTGATTTAACATTACTGATATTTTTACAGTAAAAACAAGTTAAACTTTTTTTTCAGATTGGGTAGATAACAGTGGCCTGAGGATTTTTCTGACGAGGAATCTTAGAAAATACAATGCTGGAGTCATAGAACTCGGCCTGGAATATATAGACAAAATGGCAATTCCACCTCAACAAGATGAGTTTACTCTCAGTGGCTACTGTATAGCAGAATGCACTGCTGTTGTAAGAAATCTCATTTAAAAAATTGAAAACTAGTTCTTGATAAGTACATTAAAATTGTTCAATTGTTTATTGTTAAGCAGAAGTATAATTTCTATTAAAATTATCCCTGACCATCAGTTTGGATTCAGGCGTTCCTATTCCACTATCAGCAGTGCCATTGGGTGATAATGATCATAAGCAAATTTAGGTGAATTCCTAGATGTGACGCAAGCCTACAATCCCTTGAGGCTGCTCTGGAAGCTTGAGACAGTCCTCCGCTTTATCTGCTATCTGATAATAAAATCCTACAAAAATGTCAGATACTTTTAAGTCATAAATGTCTTGCATGGATATAGGAATACCTCAAAGAGGTATCTTAGAACCACCCATACTCTACTCAGCATATATCTATATGTATATACACATCTAATCAGTGTACATGAATGCATGAGTACTTCAAGGAGGTATATTAGGACTTATCCTTTACTCAATAGATACCAGAGTTATTTCTACCCTTTCTGAAACCATCCTTACCACCTACAGAGATTACTATCTGTAACAGCCTTCTGTTACTATCACAAACACCTATGGCATACCAAACTGCCAAAACATAGATCCATCAGACACTCGATTAAAAATAAGTCCTCCATTCAATGGGTTAGTAGTCCAGGATTTAGGCATGTGAAAAAGTTCAACAAAGGGCCATCTCAGAAACAAACAGCGGAACTTCTAAATCTAGGATATATTAGCACTAGAATTGGACTGCTAACTGGGTATGCAAACTCCAGTATATATATAAACTCGGAGTGGCAGAAACAAGCCTGTGCAGATATTGACAAGAAGAAGAGAAGGTAGAATGTTTGTGCGAAGGCTTATTTTGTTAAAATTCCTACTCCTGGGAGAAGCTCCACGACCCTAAAGATGTATCGTAGGACCCATCCTCTACAAGTATACACCATGTAGACATTCCTACCCTTTCTGTAACTATCCTTACCACATATTTAAGTGGTACCATCATTTGATATCATAAAGATCCTATTATCTCAACCAGAACCCAAGTCACACCCCTTGAATGGTTCAATCGATGGAAAGTAACAATTAACATACAAAAATAATGTCATTTTCACCTATGAACGATAACAACTGCTACCTTCAACTACAATATTATCCTTTTAACATAGACAGAAACCCCACAGACACTTGACTTCTTAAACATCTGCTAGAAAAATTATTCAAACTAATTCTAAAAAACAATTGACTCAATATCGCCTTCTAAGACCCTTTTAAACATATGACATCACACTTTGGGGTTTAACCCAGTGTTCCATCCTCCAATGTATCCAAAATCCTCCAAACCATCTTCAATGCTCTTTTCTATGTGACCTATTCACCCTCATGCCAGAAACTTTTCATTCAGACCCTACCAGGTAATCCTTGATAATTGTAACACCAGGGCCTCATGCTCTCCTAATTGGCAGTTACCTCTTGAGGTATTTTGTAACTCTTTTGATCTGCCTATCTTCATTGTTTTGATCTATTATACATGTTTCAGCTTCTTATCATCTTCAGAGGTAGGCCTATGTGATTATCTTGTCATTCCTGTCCATTTATAAGTGCAATAAACGAAGATAAAGAGAAGCCAAAACTTGTCTGACAGATTAAACAACACAAATTTAACTCATTTAACATAAAGACAAATTTTGTTTTTAGGCTTTACCGCAAGTTGGAATTATGATATTTGCATCACAGCTTCATACACATTTGACAGGGGTGAAAGTAGAAACCAGCCATATCAGGAATGGAGTCGAACTGCCCAAAATCAATTACGATTACCACTACAGTACACACTTCCAGGAAATCAGATTGCTTAAGCAACAGCACCACATACTTCCAGTATATGTTTTAAGAAGGATTGAATGTTGACAAGAAATAAATGATTATTTTTTGGCTGTTTTTTAGGGTGATGCTCTTGTCACGACATGCACTTACAATACAGTTGACAGATCGAACATCACACTCGGAGGGTTTTCCATAACGGATGAAATGTGTGTCAACTACATTTATTACTACCCTAAAATTAATCTTGAAGTATGCAAGAGTTCAATATCAGATTTTGCCCTTAAAGAATACTTTGACAACTTAAATCGGTAAATTTTAAATCAATTTGATATAATGTAAAAACTACAGTTTTTTTTTGGTCAGATTGGAATGGCAAAATACAGGCAGTGAATTGCCTATTTCTAAGTCTTACGTTGGCATCGAGTGGAACCCGCTTAGATCCAAAATCCTTCACCGTCTTTACCTTGAGTCGCCAATTTACATGCAATGCAATCAGTCAAATGGAGAGCGTTTCCCAGGAGATTGGGCGAACATGCCAACCACCACAGTCAGAACAGCCCTTCCTATCAAAGAGTCACAGTGTTTCCATAAAGAGAACTATGTTATGTTTTAGAAACTATGTAGTAGAAAAATATGCTTATTCATGAATTCATTTGGAAATTTTAATTGAAGTTCTCTTCTACCCTCTGCACTCTTTAAGAATTTAAAACATTTTATATTATTATTTTCATAACGATAAAGAAATAATATAACTTGTATATATGCAAGTTCCCTAAAATAAAAAAATATAAGCTACAGTATAATTTGTTTTACCCTAATGTTTTTCATTCTCTAATAAAGGTTTTATCATCAATGACACATTAAAGGCATTTTGATTGTTAATTTCTCTCCGACTGTGATTTTTTTCACTAGGATGAATCAAACTGATTTGAAAATTTGTCAGTGAATCAGTCAATTGATCCATGATAACCCCTACCGAGAAGATTGTCGTCTTGGACGAATTGGTTGCATCATCGAGGTCACAAACAATGCTTGACACCCTTAAGTGTAGTATTGGACGCAGTAAGTGTACGTCAGTACATTCCAGGCGATGTGATAGTGCTTATCGTGTAATATTCGCAGTTTGACTACTCGACTTTGTAAAATAGGTAAGAAACCATAATAAACTATATTTAGTAAATTTAAATCTAATATCAAATCTAAAAACAAGAACAATATATTCTGCTAATTTAAATATATTCTATTAGAGAAAAAGTTGATAAATTTTAATATTATTTTCTATCTCTTCAGAAAATATCACATCAAACTAAATTCATTGTTAAAAATGCTTTCATTTGGTTTAACAAGCTAGAAACTGATAATTTTTGTTATAAACAGAATGAGGATTTACCAGCTTTTCTTCGTGTTTGCCCTTCTCCTGGGCATCGCCCTGGGCCTGGAGTCAGATATTAGAAAGATAAAGGAGAAGAAATCGCCCGAAAAACCGACAGTACGAGTGATCCCTATCTTTTCACCAAACTCAAGAAGCAACATCAAGTTCTCATAAATCATAAAGTATAAATCATGCTTATTGCATCACGTAATAACGCTTTGTTAGAATATAAATTATTATGGCATTTTATCTCAAGAGAAACTTATTCTACAATGACTAAATGAATATGATATTAAATATATGAAAAATGAAAAAATATGAATTAAATTAATCAAATATTTATTATTATTAGCTGTTATTTTTTTTTAGTGAGATGTACTATTTATGTAAATCTAATATAAATATATTGTAAGCGAAACATTTATGATTTTTTTTGTTGCTAAAAGAATTTTTAACATATAATATAATAAATATTGACACCAGATATTTTTTTTAGAATTCAGCAATATTTAGGTTTAAAGGTGTTATTAATACATCAGATAGAATGGACCTTTAAGTGATAAATTAATGCTGAACAAAGCAACGGTTCATTGAAATAAATTGAACACAAGTGATTGGATATCCGTTCATCTTGTGTAAGAGGAAAGAACAGAAATTTTTTCTTACAATATAGGCCCTGAACATTGAAAGTTTCCTCTAAAATTAATACTTTTATAACGCTTTTATTTATTATTTCAAATTGCATTATTTAGGAAAGATTTTAGATTTTTAATTACTACTGTCAATGTACTTGTAAATTTTAAAAAGCGGAAAATTGCAAGTTTCTCTTCCTTCTGTGGACTGTATTTTTTTGCCTATGCTACTATTTATCTTTTAATCTGTTGTTTTCTGCTTTATTGTCTTTCTATGGTCTATCATATCTTCACTTAAGTATGCTTGTATTTGTTTCATTAGTTGTTAGTTTGTCTTTTATGCTATACTTTAGTTCTCTTTACTCTTTGTTGCCTATTTTCATTTTTAGATTATTGCTAATTGTTTGTAAGTCTATAATTTGTCATTATTAATAGTTTGGGAGTCTTAAAGTAATTCCTGTCATAAAGAAGCCTGTTGGTTGAGAGATTTCCTCCTGTCGTCTTGGGAGTGATGAATCTGAAATTTTGTTACTGATCATCTCACTCCTGGCTAGATTGGTCTGTCAGGCAAGTTTTGGCATTTCATCATCTTCAGAATGTCGCTCCACATCAGGCTATCATAGATGAGAGTTCAGAACCACTTTACAAAAATGTAAAGTCTCGAATAAAATTCCAAGATTTGTACCCAGACTCGCTAACTGGCAAACACAGTTGGACGACATAACAACTTGACTACGGCAGTTCTCCAGATGACTCATTTTAACTGTTTTTATTAGTATATTGTTTTAATAAGGTAATTAGAAGATATTGTACTCAAAATAAACAATAAATAATCCTTTGTTTACTTTTGTACTGGTTAATCCCATTTGCTCAAAAAGTAATATTATGCCCTTCCATTGTGCCTCGCCTAAAGATTGCTTCCATTTAATCTTTTTATTTTATTGATTTCATTTGATATTATTACTATACTCCTAAACCGTTTTCAATGCTCCAGTTGGGCATTTGAGTGAGAATGAGAGTCAGGATCATAAAATTATTAGAGGAAGGATACAGTGCAAAGTCGCCAGGGGTCTGAGTGTGAATCACTCAGTAATAGGAAGGGTTCTTCGGCGCTTCAGAGGAAAAAGGCTACACATTAGAAGACCAGGTCGGCTCGACCTAGGTCTTCAGACAAGAGAGGTGATAGATTCATCATATCAGGCTCTACAAAACCGCAACGTTTCAGGAAATGAGATAAGAAATCTGATAAGACAAGCCCAAAATGTTTCGATTTTCTCCTTGACTGTAAGAAGAAGGAATGAAAACCTCAGGGCCCAGCACCCAGCTCAGGGATCTTTCAGCTCAGAAAATGGCCAGGCTTCAATTAGCACGAAACATGTGAATTGGCCACTGGAAGATTCGGGATGAGCACTCTTTACAGATGAGGTGAGAGATGATCTCAAATCTTTAGAGGGTGTAATTTCATATGGACACATTCACGAGAAAGGTATGTCCCATGCCGTCTGGTTCCTTAGATAGCCTTCCATGTATCGTTGATGTTCTGGGGTGGCATTTCCTTAAATGCCCGTAATAAATTGGTTGTTGTGCAAGGAAGATCTCTAACTTCACAGAGGTACTTACAAAACATAATCAAAGAACATAGTGTGAATATAGAAGAATATAGTGCCACTCCCCCCCCACCACACTGGTGAGAGATTTTTACCAGTACAGGATAATACCGGCCCTATAGAACACATATTGTGAATGATTACCGAAATGAGGTTGAAATTGAAAGCTCAAAGTCCAGATTTGAACCCAATCACACTCTTGGACCAACTTAAGGGACGAGTATGGCAATCTGAATCTAAGATCCTAACACGCCAGAAGAGTTGGAAATGGCTGTTTTTGACAAATGGGATAGAACTACTCAGGATTTTACTAGAAATATTTTCCAAGGAATGCAAAGGTGTTTGACAGATGTGATTTGTGCCAGAGGTGGAAATACTTGATATTAAAGGGGACAACATTTTTTCCATTTTATTTGTTTTTGAATTTTCTGTTTTTTGGTTCTTTACTCAATAATTTTTTCTAGAATTAAGTAACAAACATTTTCTTTTTAAAGTCTTATTTTTACAATCAAGCCTATTTTTGGTATGCAAAATATGAATAAACGTAAATCCATTAAAAGTTTAGGGTGGTGAATTCATTTTATCTATCAGTACATCTTGAAATTTTGTTCAAATTAAAGTCGACAGTTTAATCATGTTTGACTTTAATTTTATTTCTTTATGGTATATTTTATTTGATTTAAGATATAAAGCATCTAGCTTACAAAGAAAATGCATACTTTTAATAAAAATGTATATTTATTTAAGAACAATTTTCAAAAAATATGCTCACTTTTGGTGTGTTTTCCTCCCTGTTAAGTTTGACTTAAGCTTGGCTTGAAGAATCAGCTCAGAATGATTAAATTGGTCCTAACCAATGCATAAGTCATATGAGTTTGGAAGCAGGAATAATGGACGACATTGAGCTTCATTAAAGACATTACATTTTAAGCTTATTAATAAATATGTGTCTGTTCAGTTTTGAAGCTAGAAATTTACGAGCATTGAATTTAAGAAGCTGCCTAAATACTTTACTGGCAAACCTTGAGAAAAATTAATACTATTTACAATAATAAATGTAGAATGAAAGAATAAAATTTAAAAAATAATAGCAATGAGTACTCAAAACTGAAGTTTTTAATTTGCAGCAGTTGTTTGTATTGTTTTTCATAGACACGCTTTAGCTATTATACAATTGCCAGGTTTTTAAAAGAAAGTTTTGGATAAATCTGTTCAAATTATTAATTACATCTAATCATGGCCATTGAAGTCAAGATTTTTCAAAATACTATGTGAAAATATGGGAAGCATTCATCATTCTCTGATTCTCCATACAGAAATGAAGCAGCTGTTTCTCAATTTCAGGACTTTCGTTCTTATCTCTGTTGATGGATCACAATGTCAAACCGGCCAATGTTTTTCAATGATGAGAAATGGCAATGTATACTGTTGTATTTATCAGATACTTATCAGATAAAATGAATGAGATGAGTCTTTCTTTTCAACAGAAGAGTATCACAACTTTGTATGCTAATGACAAAGTTGACACTATCAATAGAAAAATACAGTTTTGGGTTGAATTTGTTGAGAAGAAAGAGGTAGAGTGTTTTCCAGTGTTAAATGATTTTTTTAAAAGAGCACAAACTGGAAATTGTGAACGACACCTTTGAAGTTTGCAGATGTCCTTTGAACACTACTTCCCAATATCTCGAGATACTATGCTAGAAGACTAGAATGGGTGGTCAAACCATTTTCAGTTTCGACAAAGCCAACCAGTCTATATTCAAGTTAATACAAATGTTTGATAGACAATACTTCAGATTCATCTTGAAATCTACTTTCAGGTCCAACAATTACCCTAATTTTTGATCCGATTTTAAACAAATAATTTCAACCGCTTGTTGAAACAGCAAAACATATTCTTCTATTTGCAAACTTTAGCTATGTGAAATCGGATTTTCTATTTACAAAGCCACCATAATTAAATACCATTTAATATATATTTAATTAAATTAATCTAATTAAATACCATTTAATATATACCAGCTGTCTAGATGCTGAACCGGATATCCATCTCCAGCTATCAAAAATTAAACCCAACATATCCAAATTGTACAGGCTAAAATAACATCACTTTTCCAACTAATTCATTAATCATTTATGTTCAAATTATTACTTTTGAAATTGGCTTGAGTTTTACATGCCTATTGATTCCACTCTGCCCAATTTGATTTTTGTTCCAGATTTTGTATATAAAGTTAAGTATGTCAATCAAATGTTTATTTTCATAGTAATATCCCTCTCCATCACCAAATTAAGAATGAATGGCTAATTTATAAAACTTTAATCTACTACATACTGTAAGTATGAACTTGATTGAAAGGGGTCTGCCCTGGATTTTGTTCTGTGAAATGGGTTCACTGGCTAAAAAGTTTCGGAAGCCCTGCTCTAGATCTAATATTAATTTGTCATTTTTGAAAATTAACTCACTTAAGGAATCTTCTTGGTTCGAATCCAGCAGCCCTGTATTCGAACCCGACATACTTACAAATGAGCTTTTTTCAAAAACGCCGGCACCCTGAGGGTTTATATGACCTTTGCTGTTGCGAATTCGCGTAAAAAAAAAAGAAAAAGAAATAAATAAATAATTAGATCAGAGTCATCAAAGGATATTAAGTGGATCTCAACATTTTGGATTGGATTTGGATTTATATAGGCGCAAAATTGCACATACAAACAAACATGTGCCGAGTTGAGCCTATTCACTTCTCACAGCCCACCGGCAGTTCCAGCTTTTGCTATTTACAGTAAATTGCTGGCACACTCGAATCGGCCACCCCAGGTGTTGGTAGTCTGGGTGCAGACCACAGTATTATCAGTTTACCCACCGAGGTTGGGCTCCAGGTGCTATGAACAGCTAGGTCAATTCAGCACCCAACGCATGCAGTTCCAAACCCATTCGTACTCACGTTCATTCTTAAATACATTCATTCCTATTTACATACTATTCATTCAATTAGGGTGACGGAGTACTTGATAATTGATATTCCTCCATCCTCTTTAC